GATGTCTAATGGGTTTTGGGTAAAATGGGCAAAGCTGTCCAATAAAAATGTTAAGTGAATGTAATTTCCTTTTTTTAAAACTGAAATGCAGTGTAGAAATGAGTTTTCTATTCCTTTCTGAGTCACAGAAGTCACAACTATCTTCAGTTTCTGTGCTCTTAAAAGGACATTTTCATTTTTCTCAAAGTATGGCACCATTTCAAAATTTGTTTGTCCCTTCCCAGTATGGTATTTTGAACTTTTTATTGCTGCACTTTTTTATTTTTTTAGTACACATTTAATTTCTCGCCTATCTGTTTAAGCAGGTAAAGGTAAAGTATTTGCAGTGTAAAATGTTGCTGACTCCTAGTACTTTGGTCATCGTGGGCATCTCAAATGTTAAACATGACCTATGGGCCACTGTGGAAAAAGAAGAAACTTAATAACATTGTTTTAGAAGTTTTATTGTGCACAGGGAACATTGTGCGTCTTACTTCTTATAACTATTTTTTACAATGTGGATAAAAATTGATAGCAGTTCTAATTCCCTGGTTTGTACACCACTGGGAATAATGCAAAGGGGCTGTGAGGGTGAACAAGATTTTCATCACTGCATGTAAAATAAATCAAATTTCAACCCCCTATCCCTTTTGAGGATAATTTAGACTATGAACTCCCAACATGATATCATCCCTGGAATGAAATTATTAATATTCTGAAATGGTGTCCCTGCATGAACCTAAGTAAATTTATGTTTGCAAACTGCATAGAATGAAGTCTTTCTGTTGACGTTGATGTGGAATATTCTCTGTTGTCTAAACTCGGCCTTGCACATATACAAGTTACGTGTGAAAGGACAGCTGTAAATAAAGCTTTGCAGCTGTTTTTGGGAAAGCAGGTGGAATGCATATAATCAGGTGGTATGACATTTAATAAGATGTTTTGGTTAAGAGGCGGGTGAGAAAGTAGTTTAAAATGTTTAGAGGATTTAATTTGATTTTTTTTAACCAATTGCAGGGGGAAATGTTACACTATGTAGAGATGAAAGTTTTGTCATTCCTTCTTAGTACAGTGTCCTGTTGAGCACACTTAAGAACATGCCAGATACAGTTTTCTTCAAATTCTGGGCTCTTTAAAGGACACTTTAATTTTTCTCTAAGTGCTGTACCAGTTCAACTTTATTTATTTTTTACCCTCCACTGTAAGATATTGATGGAAAATGCACATTTTTATAAACCCATGGAATTCTTTCTCTTTTTAAGGATCTATGACTTTGTTTTGGTGCAGGGGGTTGTTGTGATAATTGGAACTTTTCCTTAGGCTTTCACTTCCAAAGCTGCACTGTCTTAAGACAGGGTGTGTAATCCGGGTACTGGAGAGCCAGTGTGTCCTTAAAGTAGCAGCTCCTGAAGAGCTGGGAAAAGTTGTAACGTTCCTCAAGTTAAGTTAATTACTAGCTGGGACAGATTAAGTGCTGAGTTGGATTGAAAATCTTGCAGACACACTGGACTGGACTGGACCCCTGCTTTTGGACACCCCTGGTCTAAAGTGAGGAAAAGTAAAGTCTGAAAAAATGGCAGACAACAAACTAAGAAATCATATTTGGAAGAAGAAAATACAGTAAATATATTTGTGAGTCTGGTGTACTAGCCTCTCCCAAATTATTTTCAAGTTTTTCTTGAATATCATAGTTACATTAGCTTAATCCTAGATACTTAAACACCCACATCATGTACTGTACATGTGCGTCTTGTACCACGTGTGTGTGTGCACACATCCGTCAGACTTGGAAATTATTGCCCAGGAAAAGTCATGTTTTCGTATTCAGAAAGATATAAAAGCCATTTACAAACAAATGCCATGTTTTTTCTGTTTTTAAAAGTTTTATTCTTCTTTATTGTTCTTAGTACAGTGCCAAGTAGTGTACTTTTTTCTGTTTGGTGTTTGTAATTAAGGCAGGAATTTACAGTGATCTGTTCTATTGAGCTGTATCTTTTTAATATTTTATGTATAAAGGGGGATTGTCTCTCAAGATGGCACTTCATTATCAGCTTGTTAACAGCACATTAAAAATTGTGTTCTTCATCTATATTTTTATTAGAGGCTGAAGACTGGAAGTAATATGATCAGTTCCTTGCAAAGGACATTTTCTCTTGGTCATGACGAGAAGATTGTCTTCTGTTGCTGAACATTTTCTCATTGCGAAACCCTTCCGTCTCAAACTGTTACTGTCAGAGGCCTTCTGCATTCATACCTGTCTGTGGTGTGGCTGGATTAGCATAGGCAGTGAGAAATATCTTCCCAGAACACCTGTTTGAAGGCTATGTAAACACCTTCAAATACATTTGATGGTGTTTGCCATTTTTTTAACATAATTAATTTCTTGAAAGTCAGCCAAAGTCTGTTGAGACGTCAGTATAATAGATAGTACCACACATCAAAGTTAAATGTGTGTCTAGCTTTTAATGACCACTTCAGCTTCTGTATTTTCAGTGTTAATTTGGTTTGGGTTGTCCTAAGCGGACTGTTACTCTCTTTGGATATGTCCAGCAACTTTGCGTTTAGTCCATAATCTGCCTCCCATTCCTGTGTTTTTATTTCTTTCACATGTTAAAGATGGAGCTGGACTCAAGGACTTGTCTCTTTCTTTTCCAATACGGTTTTGTGCTTTCTTGTTACATTATTTTTTGTTCTTATAAGACTAAGTATATGGATTTTGGGCATATATACTCTTGGTGAGACAAATGGGACAGAATCCTACCAGTTAGCCCCTGCAACAGCATGCAGTTATGTGGTACACATGTACAATCTATATCGCTTCCAATGGTGGCCACACTACATGGCAAACTGTACCAGGCCAGAGTGACCTGGAGGTTAACACCACTACTCTGTCAAACTGTCCGATTGCAGGTGTGTTAACCTGAGTGTCCTGGCCTAATACAACTCGGGGCATCTGCAGTTTGGTCTCCATGAAGTTCCTCTTTTATTCAGTTGTTGACGCAGTTTCTCACTTCAATACCTGATCTGTTGTGTACTGGGCTGCTGATGCCTAATAGCTCGGTCACATCACCCATGTGGCTGCTGCTCTTCTGTGGGTGAAGTAGGTCCCCTCCTACTGTATATGTAAAAGCTCTCTGGGATTCATCAGAATGTGAAATGGTATAAATGCATTTACAGTAATCTCTTGCCAACCACAGGGGTTTCATTACTGAAAGCCCTCGCAGCAGGTAAATGCGGTTGATAAATTTAAGACCTTATGGGGGAAAAATAGGGTATGGAAAGCCAATGTCAGAAGTCAACCTCTTAAATTCCCTGAAACATTTTTTTCAGCTATAATAAAGTAAAACAATTACATTAAAAACACTATTTTGGATATAATATTGTATAGTTTTTATGAGTTTCTGACAATTATTTATTGCTGTCATGATGTCTGTGTAGATGGTGTTACGTGGCATGTACGAGACCTTAAGTGACATTGCTGTTCCACTGCTTATACTCACTCCAATAAGTCCCTCAGTATTGCATTTTATTTGAAGGTAAAATGGTATATAGGAAATTATGGGGGAATATGCAGTTTTGAGTAAATTCACATATAGCAAGGGATTATTGTACTCATTTTTTTTAATTATGGATAGCATGTGTTAGATGAAATTCCATTGGCCATGTTTTTTTTATCATTTGAAATGTTACAGAGAACATGGCCAATGAGCTGCTGTGGTTTTCCCCTTGACACAGTTAGCAGACATTTCCATTGTGAACTGTACAGCCGCAGCATTCTCTTGGCTGCCTTAGACTCTGCCTAAACTGCACTCTTCATTGCTTGTGCTCAAACCTTTATTATTAGTCATGAGTGATTCAGAAAAGTTTAATGGACCACTTGTCAATGGGGGGATGCCTTTTAATTCCTCTGTGTCAAATGGTCATCTCTTTCACGCACTCATTTGACTTATGGCTCATGCCGTTATTATCCATAATTTATGCTGCTGCTTCCCTGTAATCCTGCAGTAATGTGTGATTTGAATTCCTTTGATACCTGGGTGTGTGAAGAGTGGTTTAGGTGTCTTTGCGTTCTGAGATGGAGTTCCTGTCTCTTGCTCAGAATAATGAGGTGACCTTTTGGAAGGTGTGAAATGATCATCAAACACCCGGATGGTGAGGCTCGCACACCAAGAGGGGATTTCTCCCGAATCCCAATCTTCTTAACATCTGGCAAGGCTCCCTGGCCTTCCTACAAGAACGTATTTAAACGGCACAGTACAAGTATCCAGATGGGCAGAGTTCACATCCATCATTTGTGTTATTAATAAATACCTTTCTGCTTTTTTTGTAAATGCTTGGTTCACCAGTGCAAGTGCTCATTTTAGAGTTCGTCAAATGCCTGTGTGAAAAGTGCCTACAAATTTTTGTTGCAGAGCTGATTTAAGGAGGTTTTTCCTCCAAATAATTAATTTTTCCAGCTAAAGATACTCAGCAGTAATGTATAAACTTTGTAGATATGTCTTAAGTTGTTCTTTGGGGGCACTGAATAATGGGTGTTTAGAGTTATACAAAATACTGGTGATGAAGAAGAAAAAAAAACATTTCTTTTCTGAAATTCAGACTGAGTTTAGTTTTTAAGGTTGTTCAGTATCAACATAAATAAATTCAGTATCAACATGGGGAGTCCCCATTACCTGTAAAGCGCTTTGAGTGGAGTGTCCAGAAAAGCGCTATATAAGTGTAAGCAATTATTATTATTATTATTATTATTATTATTATTATTATTATAAATGTATAGTTCTTTTCATACATTTTGTATGTGTCCTATATACGAGACAAAGTTAAGGTTTTAGAATATTAAACTACCTTAATTTTTTCAAATCTTTGAAATATTTTAAAACAAAAATGATTTTTCTTAAATGTTCCTTCTTCATATGAGGTGCAAAACTTTGATTTTATATTATTTACTTTAGAAAATTAACAGGCTATCTTAAGTCAGTTTTGGAAATATGCCATAATCCTGTTTTTCCAATTATTTTCAGGGCAGCAGCAGTCAAGAATCCCAGGAGGAGACTGAACAGGAAGATGGGGATGCCAAACAAGCTGTAACCTCCGGCCTGGATGTGGAAACCCCCATGAACACGGTCACCAGCTCTCTGACCATGCAGGAGTACTTTGCGCAGAGAATGGCCCGGTTGAAGAAGAGCCAGGGAGAAGCCCAGACCGAGTCAGCTATCGTCCCATCTTCCGAAGACTCGGGCCCTCCAGAATCACCGAAACAGAAATCCAAGAAGAAGAAAAAGAAACATGGCCGCCGAGAAAGTGCAGAGCTGCTGAGGGAGGCTGTCACAGGGGATGGCAAGGGCTCGCCAGAAGGAGAAGAACTGGAGAAGCAGGGAGAGAAATGCGTGGACACAGTAGGCCACACCGTCAGAAAACCCAAGAAGTCAAAAAACAAAGAGGTTGTGAAAGGACATGTGCAGGGAGAAGAAGAGGACAATGCAACAGAAAAAATAGAGAGGAAAAAACAGAAGAGGAAGAAGAAAGAGGAGGAACCAGAAGAAATCACTGTAAAACCCAAGAAAAACAAGAAAAAGAAGAGAGATCATTTAGATTGAAGAAGGCAATTTAGAAGTAGTTTAGACTTCGTTTTTAAAATGCAGGGGGCAGAGAGCATACCATGGAGTAATGTGTCTTACATCATCACATTCCTCATTTTTAAGCCTTGGTCTCCTAGTACACAACTTTTTACTTTGCCTGTCTGATGTTTTCACAAAATGAAAGTTTGTGATAGAAATGAGTAATTTTGCATTAGTAGTGCTCACAGTTCACACCCTAAAACTTTGCTCCTCACCTCAGTCCTCTTGTGATGTCTGATGAGAGGGAACAGCTTTTCTAGTCCAAGGTTTTTATTGATCTACTTTATTTCTCAGCCATGGTACTGGTACTACGTGTCCTTAACACAAGAAATAATGTTAAAGAAAACATTTTAATTATTAAAAATGACACATCAGCCCCTTCAGAGGAAATAATTTCTCATTTAAAATATGAACTGTCTTCAGTAAAATTTCTAGACAATGTAATAAAGGATGTACAAAAGGAATGGTTATTATACATCGACTGCTTGAATTTCTTTTTCATCCTCATTTAAATCTTTATCCAGTGCACTGAAATTGTTAAATAAGTGACTTTAACAAGAAAGTGCCTTGTCTAACTTAATGTAGTGTTTTATTAAAAAAGAATAAGAATGTAGTTCATTTTACTCCTTAAAACCTGAAGGCTGCAGCCCCTGAAAATAAGTTGTATATGATGCAGTGCAGTGTTATAAGATGTTATAAGTGTTCTTGAAAACAACAGAAGCAGAGCACCCGTTTCAACTGGATTTGAGTAACTACCTTATTGAGATCATTTTACTGCTGCTTCTGCAGATTCACAAAGATATATAAAGATATTAGTATTTCATAATGTAAGGACTGTATAAGCAGTTTTAACACCTAATGAATGTTATGATAATTTAACTCTTTATAGCCTGAATTTCTTATCCACTGAAATCTTCCTAGGTAAGCCTTTAGCACTTTGAAATCATGCTCGCCATGAGACATTACTGTGTAAAATCAGGATTGATTATTTGAGCAGAGACTGATCTGATTTTTACAAAATAAAATGGTTTTCACACAACACATTCTTGCTAAGGACTTGATTGAAGGAATTACATGATAATTATTTTCTTAATTGGTGTCTCCACTTAAGTAGTAAACAATATAAAATCAAATATAAAGTTTTGCACCTTATATGAAGTAGGAACATTTAAGATGGTATGATAACTCACGCCAAATGATGTAAAGAATATATTGCAAAGATTTAACGGGTTAAATACAAAACTGGTAGTTAAATGTGTTTAGAAGTGTGATAGTAACTGAACATACAGAGCACGGTTGTGATATTAACTGCGTTTGTGAAAGTTATGCAAGAAAAATAAAGCATCTTTTTTCAACTCCTAAACCTCATGACAATTTAGTATGTAATTTGTTGTAATAAATTTAGCCACATCTATATTTTATAAATAATTTTTGATGTTAAATCCATCCATCATTTCAATAAATATGATTCTTAAGACAAAGTTCTAGATACAAACAAATGTAATTTAAACCACCACAAGTGTATCTCCAGGGTTTTTTCCTTTTTCTTCCACGTCAAGGCCATTCTACTTTTTTCTTGGGAGAACGGTGTAAAGGTGGCTTTTCTTTGTCAATTCTTTACTCGCCAGTCATGCCTTGCTGTGCTCAGGTTTTCCAACAGAGACTGTGAAATTGCTTTGCTAATCAAGAAGCTGAAATGTCGTGTGACCTACCTGGCATGCATGTCATCCATCCAGACCAGTGATACACTATTATAAACCCAGAGGGTTGCAGAGTGTTTTGGTTTTCATTCCACCTCTACTCTTGGTGACTAAATTGATCATTAGCTTAACTGGACCTTTTTAACAGCTTCAGCTATTCATCTAAAGACATCTAGAAAACCTGCAAAGATTGTTTTCTCCATTTCGTTCTGGCCCTGGAAAGAAATGCAAATTGCACCTGCATTCGAGGGGGTCTCCAAACCTAGTCCTGCAGATCTCCAATCCACCAGTTAAAGCTGTTGATCAATTAAAATACATTAAAGGTTACCAGCTTAATATAGTAATTATCACAGCTTTGCATCAGAAGAGGAAGACTGATGTCATAGAGCATCAGATTATTTGAGTTTGGCAATTCAGTCACACTGATGTACAGTTACATTTAAATTTGCTTTATCATATGGTGATAAATTTCAGATGTAGTTATTGTAGGAGATCCAGTTAAGGCTTCCTGCATCCTACAAACTGGTGTATTTGCGGATTATTTGTGTGAATTACTGTACATGCAGTCGGTTTTTTTAGTTTAAAACGGGCACCTGCAACAGGTTCACAAAGTTATTAGGAAAATTAGAAAATATTTTTATGGCAGGTTTATTTTTAGTGATCGGGTGAATAAAACACTGAAAGATAATGTATATATGCAGTACAGTTGCCCTGTAAAAGTATTCAGAACTTTTAAAAGTTTTCGGATGTTGCCGCATTGCAAATGATACACATTTTCCAGTGTTTTTATTGCAAACGCAATTATCTTGCGTTATAATCGCAATTTATAATCGCAATTCAGACAAGTTTCAAGACGGAAAGAATACAATATAATGTGAAAGCAATCCTGTTACAACAGAATAACAGTAAGCAACAATAGAAAGGTTTTATGTCATTAGTTAATTAAAGAAACAATTTTTCAGCATTTTATGTGCTCCTGAGTAATCATCACAATGTGCCGGAATGGATGGCAGCACTGTTTTACCTTAATATTTCATTTTTAATTATTTTAAAAATTCGTTGATAAATTCTTAAAATTGATTTAAAACATTTCTTTTAAAACGTTTTTTATTTAGAACCTCTGCGCCCTCTGGTTTTATATTACCCATTCTACATGATTGTCATCGTGCTGATTCAACAGCGGCCGTCACTGTGCTGGCGATGTGAGTCCGACGTCACAGTACAACGAAAAGCCGAGCTTCGGTTCTTGTAACCTCGGCGGGCGCAGGTGTGTTCTGCACCGCGCTGGGGGCGATCTCGGGAGAGAGACACATGGGGGGCGGAAGGCTCAAAGGAAAAAAAATAATTTACAATTTTTCTAAATAGGCTTCGCTTGTTACACTGACGACAGATTTAATATTTTCATCCCGCTCACCCTCCCATTTCAGACACACACCCAATCCGCCTGCAGCAAAGTACATTTTACCCGCTCCCGCTGTCGCAGCGGCGGGTACGATGGGTTCGGCGGGAGACCCGTCCCGCTCTGGGACTCTAAACTCACAGAGCCCTTGAGCTATTGATGCAACGAAGTGTCCCAAGAAGTTTCTTTAACCGTAACGCTTATTTTCACATTTCTTTCAGTGCAACTGACCCATGAAACCTACCTGTATTAAGCAATTTACCGGCGATATGATTTTACAAGCAAATTACTCTTCCAGCATTTGTAACAGGTGTAAGATAACCGTTCGTTATGGCTGCTGAACTTGCTTGGATACATTAAGAGGTGACACCTTCTGGGATACAATAGTTATTTTTGGAAACGGAATGCCCCTTCCCCCTTTTTATTTTGTGTTTTTATTTCATGCTTTTAATTTTCTGAGTAATATCTTGATCTACAACTCGATCTTTAGTTTTAAACATCTCAGAGTCTGCCATGTGTGATTAATGGAGTACCAGAAAAGGTATTTATTGAATCACCAGTCCCTGCAGTTCATAAGTTCCCTCATGGTCTTGGTCACAATCCTTGCTTTCTTTTAAAGCTATATCGGTCTAGGTCAACCCCAGAATGCAACTAAATTAATGTGCACTGTGGGTCTTTTTCACACAGTACATCATTTAAAAAGAATTTAACAGGCCTTGCAAGCGCAAGATTGGCTTATTAAGGAACAAGTTGTTCTGGGTGTAAAAAATGCTTTCAAGTTGTATCCAACATGTTGCTTATCACTTCTAATAATGAAACAGTACCCATCCATCCATTGTGAGAGACATGCTCTCTTGCTGACAGGAGCTGGGCAAGCCAGAGCCTGTCCCGGAAATACAGGGCACAAGGCAGAACTCGATCCTGTACCAGTCCCTCACAGGGCCTCATGAAGTAATACTCACTGGCGGATTTTTAAAGCCTTTCAAATATTTTGTGTCAAACCTTTTTTTTTCCCAATGGGTAGGTGATAGGTATTCAAACCTCTATTCCCCCGAAAATGCCTTTCAAAAAGGGCAGGCTTCCACCAGAAATGGTCTAAATTCTTTGAGTCACAAATTCATCATGATCCCCGCATTGCCACGGAACCTGCTTGGCATGCAAAACCCTTTCAGGATATTTACCTTGTTAATTGAAAGGGAGAAAACTAATCCCTCGCTGGGCGCAGTGAAATGCTCCACTCACTGGTACTGCATTCAATGTTGCTGTAATCACCTGGCAAGACTCCCTTAATCAGTGATGCATGCGCAATGTTTTAGAATCCCCTATAATAGCCATTACAACCACCAGAATTATTCCTGCCAAGGTAACAGTCCACAAATGCTGTGCTAGTGAAATCTGTCCTACAGTACGTCCCCTGCATTTTTATAAACTTGGATGTTTGAACCACTTGGCACAAGGCTGTTGTGCGCAGGGGCTGTTGCTATGCTGCATGGTGTGGCGTACCAGTTCAAAATGACTTTCATTCTCCACCCTAGGGGATGGTGTTCCACCTGGGGCTTATTGGCACAGGCTTTTCACATCTTTGGCCCTAATGAACCATACCACGCAACAGCCGAGCGTGTTTGTTGTTGTTAATTGGCAGTGGTATGTCTGGATTTAACACCACACCTCAAAAGAATGTAAGAAGTGAGGTTCAAGAACTTGTCTCTGCAGTCTTGTTAAGTTATTGCTGTCATTTTAAAATATATATACGTACTCAAATCAAAAGAAATTCATCACTTATTACTGCTACAAATTCACAAAGCTATCAGGAAAATACGATTTTTTCTTGCAGGTGCACTGACATTTCAGTGAACAAGCATGGCGTAGGTAAACTTGTTATGCTTGATTAACCATTATCACCAACAGGGCTGATCAACAGGAGGTCTACTGTCCAAGTGGTGGGAACTTTCAAATATAATCTGCTAATATAATCTCATCTGTGATACATGCACCAGTTTGGAGCTGCTGTCTTGCAGGACTCTGTCCTATTCATTTTGACTGGCGTGTAACAGCAAGTACCTGCTCACTGGTCTCTCTCCCCTGGATACTATGTCCCTATCATAGTTGCCCATCCCACAGAGTATGAGCTGGGCTCAAATCTGTTGTGTAGGTCATCCAGGACATACCTGCCACATTCTCATCTTGCAAGAAATGTTACAAGAAATGACTGGTTTAGGCTCCTTAACATGCCAAGAATTTTAGTTAGGGGACTCAGGTTTTTATGTGGCAGCCCCTTGCGTCTTTGGAATAGTCTTCTTGACAACATTAAAAATGCAGCTTGTGTTGATGTTTTTTAAGTCTCACCATAGACCAGCCTCCAACAAACTGGTAGCACAAAGGACATAGGTTTCACAATCAACAGGTTTAATCACCTTTTCCCTTGTGCCCTATTAACGATTTACTAAGGAAGGATTCAGTGCTTATTCAACAAAGTCACTTGGTGTATTATGGTCGGTCATGAATTAATCCTAAATCTGTCATATAGAAATATATACTATTTTTCTAAATCTTTAAATGGATAGTAGGTTTCTTTGTCAGTATATTGTGTATTTATGAAGTGTACATGAATAATGAAGTAATAAAACAAGTTTTGCACGAGTTTAGAACCATTCTTGCAGTAAAATTGTTTAACACACCAATTGCTCATCCCCTCAGTTTGCTTCAGATTCAGAAGGAGTTAGACCGTGCCTTCTTTTCTCCAAAATACGCACCAAGGAATCATCTGTCTGCCAATGTTTCACGCTGTACTTTTTCTTCAGGTTGCGCTTTTAAAGAGATGGCATCAGTTGGAGACGTGAGGCTGCTTTCAGTGTTGCAAGCTCACAGGTGCCCGGGCCGACACAAGAGGACCCAGCCTTGTAGCGTCACCACCCCTGTGGCGAGTGCGGCCCATCCTCTGCAGAGATCCTGCTCTTCAGGTACCCGCCAGTCCTGTGCCTGGGTGGTGAAGCTGACGAGAGTTCTAGAGTCCTGGAGCAGAAGAATTTGGCTCCGACTCCAGCTTTCTAAGAGAAAGTAAACATTTTAGAATACGCCCTGTTACACAAATATGCATCATGTTTTGGGAATCTCATATTCAGTCAATTCATAGCACATATACTCTGGACTATAGGGCTGAGTTTACTCTCTGGCCCACCCTCTTTACTGGTCACTGTGCCACTCGCGAGCCCTACAGTCAAACTTGATAGTTACAAATGTCATCACCTGCTCTGTTCTATAAGGATATT